CAATGAGAGCGACCACACCCCACCATAAAAGTTTTTTTTATAACAAAAGCAGTTCCCCTGTCCTAAAGAGCATATGAATATTATTCATGGTTTATAATGCAATAATACAACAGGCGCTTGGACGCCTTTTCTTTGCTGGACAGCAACTTGAATGGGTTGGAGTAGTTTCTGGCAATCCATGGCCCGCCAAAGTAAGAGAATAAGGACTTTGTGAAGGCGCGGTTATGTCCAAAAGAAAAGGATCTTAACGAAATTCTCATTTTCAACCTTCCAATTCAGTCATGATTTTCATTACCAACGACTTTACAAGTCAGCTTTCTCAGACTTTTCTGACTGCAGGGTTTCCCCAGACCTTCACCCCAGACCCACTTTCCCAAATTTCCATCGTATTGGAGAGCACAGAAGGTCCGATAGCGCCTTTTGTGACTCAGCCAGCGCAAACATCTGTTGTTTGAAGCTATAGAACAACAACCCCCAAAAATTCATAAACGCTAAAATTTACAAAGTGATCAGTTTTGGTCACCAATTTTTGGATGCGCCACCTTCTCTATTTCCATTGTAGACAGCGGTAGCATCCAGTGGTGGCGGCAGTTCGGCGACGGGAAGGAAGAGGAGGAGCATTTTTTGGTTCCGTCCCTACTTTACCATTTTCCAGTCGCAGTTGCGCAGTCTGGTGAAAACCTGTGAACCCTTGTGAAGCTGGAGCAAGCTCGTCGAGCCAGGTAAAACTCGCCAACTATTGTTTCGCACATGAAAGAGCTCTCTAGACAGCTAGGAGTGCAAAATGCCCCTCCCCCGTGGCCGAACTGTGGCCCGTCTGGGTTGTAACGGCCTGTAGGAGCCACCGAATGTGAAAATCACTGTCTCTCGTCTTCCGAGTGGTACCTGACAAAAAAAAAACCAAGAAGTCAGAGCGCATTCAAAGGAAGTTGATTACAGGAAGAACTTCCAGCTTCGGGTGGGGGGGGGGCGTTTGGCTCTTTCGCTGCTTCCCACTGCCATGCAGACGCATCAAGAAGAGATCTGGAAGCCATGAAGTGATAAGCACTTGACGTATATTGTGAAGAACACCTGCCTACTCTTGTTATGCCAATGAGCACGACAATGGGAAGTAGCAACAAGTACAGAATTCCCCCCCCCTCCCTCCTACGGTCGAACTGCGTCGAAAAATCCTTTGGTCCAGGAGGAATCCGGCCTAAACATTGTCCCCCATAATCATTCTCATGCCAATTGTGAATGCCACGCATTGGCCGTGTGAATGACGGCGTTCTAAAGGACTCTTCCAAAAAATCCGTAACGAGCAGGAAAAAAAAACTAGCCCCACCACATTCCTCGAAGTTCCCGGCACATCATCGAAGGGCCATTAATAGACCAATAAATCACCCATGAGAGTGGGAATATGGTGGGGAAAAGACGATTATAGTTCAAAACTCGGAAATGATTCCCCTACTTTGTCGTTTCTTCTGAGAAGAAGACCGTAAGCACGGCATAAATTACTGACCACCAGCAGCAGATAAATCAATTCCAAGCCAAGCAACGTACGCTTGGGTGTAAATAAGTAAATAAATAGAAATAAGTAAATAAATAAACAAACAAGTTCAGCACGCAAGATACACTTACATAAGCTAAACAATTCAGAAAGAAGCTAGCCTAAAAAGCAAAAAAGCATCGCGAAGAGTTCATTATTTTCCAAGCCTGTCTTGAAAGAATGTGGGAACTTTCCATCAGAGACTGATATCAAGTGTCACAATGGCATTTCAGAATTGCAGCCAAAAAATTGTAGCCTTCGAAAAGAAATGTAGGCTGGTTGCTATGAAGAAAGTTGAAAGGTAGATTAAAAAAAAGGAAAAAAAAAAAAAGTAACACTATAATATTAGGGAAAGAGGGGAAGGGCAGGGCCAAGAGAATTGGGCCAGTGCAAAAGTGGCAGAAAACATTACTCAAGGGTTTGCCATTCCCTCTTCATCACTACTCCTTTTCGGCGCTGTTTATTGACGGAGGGGAGGGGGGGGGCATTCTGCTTTTCATAGATTTGCCAACCCATCTAGGTACCCTTTTTTCGAGTTGACACGTTTTAGGATGGTGGCTAGACGATCTTGCTCCAGCTTCACAAGCGTTCACAAGTTTTACCAGAGTGAGATTTGTAGAACCAGGGAAGCAATTATATAAATACATAAATGCCCTCCCCGTCGAATAACAGTGGGCCCCCTTTTCCTTAGACCTACTCATGTTTGCACCCATGTCTCCTCACTCTGCTTCTCGGCTCTCGTTTTTTCAGAGAATTGAAAAAGGAACAAAGGGATAGAAAAGAAAGGCAATAGACTTTGAAATTAAGTCTTTGAAAGAGAATTCTGAAAAAATTCCATTCGAAATCGCTCCAACCTTCTAAGAAAGTGGAAGAGCTCTTCTCTGCAAAATTGAACTGAACAAAAAGTAAAGTTCGATTGTGAGGGCCCAATAAGAAGAAAAAAAAACGAAGAGCAGCAAAAGAGCAAAACGTATAGTCAGGATTTTTCTACGAGGGTTCCCATCAGACTCCTCAAAACAAGTTAGGCCGCGAAATTTCCACCAGATCAATGTAGCTATTGTCTGCCTCCATGTCGATGTTAGTCTACAGTGGATTGGCTGGCATGCTCATAGCAACTTGGAATTAACGGGAGGTCAGTTCTGCTTGGAATTTTTGAGTAAAAAGCTTTGAGGAATAAAAAGTTCGAGGTTTTTGCTGGACCATCTAAGGGGCCTTGGAAATCACAGTAGCGATTCACTAAAGGAAGCAAATGTGCTAAGGAACGGTAAAATGCGAAACGATTTCTTGAACCGGAAAGGACAACCACATTGACCGGCTAATAAATGAAGAAAGCATAAATCAAACCCTGGCGCAGTTCGGTTTGGTGGGGGTATTCTGCTAATTCTCATCGATCCCTGCCGATGCCTCTCGTGAAGCCCTGTAAATTCTTGTGAGCTGTAGCTACAGCATAATGGCACGAGGTTCGTTTACACTTGACAATACACTACAGGTCTCAGCAAGGTGAGACGTGTAAACTTAACGGAACTGGCAAACAATTAGCAAATCAGAAAAATGCTCCCCCTAGGCCAAAAAATGCTCGTCGAACAGCGCCTGAAAGCCTCTCTAACAATGGGCCCGAGGAAATTGTTCCGCCTACTCAATAGCAAATAACTCGATTCGACGTAGGAATGCCATGGAGGGTGAGAAAACGCACGATGAACGAACCCAGGAGATCGATAGCCTAATCCTCCGCCCCACTCGTAGATAAAAATAGCGATAGAAAGATAGGGAAAAGGGGAGCAAATTGGAGATATATACCAAAACGAAGAGGTTTCTTGGTAAACCACCCTTCGGCGAAGTAAAATCGATCCGAGCGAAAGGAAACGAGAAGGCACAGCACATGTCAACAAGTGAGTCTTGCAGTGTTTTTTGCGGAATAATGCCATGTAATCGCTTGGCCACAACGTCTGCTGATTGCCGGGTTCACCAGCAGCGTTTTGAAGGCCATAAAGGAGCATGTGTTCTGCACCATCTGGGACCTTTCAAAGATCATTGAATAATACACATTTCAGAAATCCTCACAGATCTTGAAAACATATGGAGACTTTGCTCAAGAACGCAACATTTCAATCTCCCGAAGACCTTCTCACTGTTCAGTGAAATTTCCTTTGACACTGAAATTGAGACATTGCTGCAGACATTCGTGAGCTGTCGCACATCCGCTAGGGATAGATTTCTTGGTAAATCTACCCCAGAGGAGAATTTTCGACAAAAATCTAGCACATTCTTCCACACAGGCGTCATGAAGGTTAAAGGCACCGTTCGCGACCGCAATTTGCGGGAAACGGAACTCAAATAGGCTAAGTATCTGATTAGCGGAGAAAAGCAGCAGAAAAAGCAGTCCGAAATGTTATAGAGAAAGATAACATAGTGGCTACTAGCTAGTAGCTAGCAGCCGGTGAGGGTCGGCATGGGCCTAAGGGGTGTCCATGGGCCTAATTAGTCAGCTTCTAGCGGAGTTCTTGCCGTTTTTCACATTTTGAAAGTAGCGCAGCCTCAAAAATCGTCTTCCGGATCGTCCGACACATTTGAGAGGTCATAGCCTTATTTTATCGCGGAATGTGCCTTTAAGTATCGCGCACAAACTGAAGCCCAGAAAAGAATTTATGCGTTTCCCATAGCCCTAGAGAACTCTTAGCCTAGCGATTTTTTGGCTGAAAATTATACCCTGTCGGGTAGAGATTCGCCAAAACCGGCGGACTCAAAACAGCACTTCAAAAAATAGACAATAATTAACTTTGGTCCATTTGTAGGCTATAAAGATATGAAAGCAAATGCTCAAGTGAGGATTTGTATTTATTAATAAAAACCTATTTCTTAGCAGAAAAAACCACTGAGGGCTATAGAGAAACCGTTGAAAGGGACTTTGCGTGGTCTCGGTAGTTCATGCACTAACCAGGTTGCCTGTGACCTTTCACAAGAGAACTTTCTTAGCTGCCGGGGATTTTTAATTGTTTTCCAATAGATTTACTGGATCTGTTCATTATTTTTTCAATGGATTTCCATTTGCACAGAGCTTTAACCCTAGTAGAACTGCTTGCCCCTATTTACCACTTCCTGTCTCTTCGAAATTTCGTCCAACTTTTGATCGAAATCTTTCCATGTGAACTGGCTAGGATTTTGTCCCTGAGGGTAGCCTGTGCACAAATATGGTGTTCGCATTATCCAAAAGCGCCTGGCGCTTGCGCCTTGAGAGCTGACGCCAAAATAGCCGAAGCACTTAATTACTTGAAGAGTGCCTCAAAAGGTATTTTGACCCCCATAAACGAATCT